TCAAGATGTTGAGTAATTTCTGTTGAGCCCGAGTGACTGTGTGGGAGTTGGATCACTCCTGTAGTTTGTAACAAAGTGTGTTGTATTTTAGGAGGAGCTCCTCCTGCACAGCGGTGCCTCTCGGATCCAGGCGGGGACAGCAAGGGCTACAAAGAGCCTTTCCTTGGTGAGATTACATATGAGCACACCTTCAAAAACCTCTCTATCAACATCACCTGTTATTAACTAACTACAAACAATTTCAGTCTTAAAGACTGAAGCCTAAATAGATTGCTTACTGTAATGACTCCATTAATTAGAGTGTATTACAGAGGGACACAGACTGAAGTTCAGTCCTGACATTGGCCTTACTGCCCGTCCCTGAGTTTGCAACACCCAGCTGCTAAGTTCTAATCTAAAATAACACAACATGTGTAGTGAATGTATGTCAGTAGTGAACATGACAGGTGTTTCTTTTTATGATACATCTGGCTAACTTGAGTTATGGAGCTAAACAATTTGTTTTTGAGCAGTAGCTGATTTCCAATCATCTGCTGTCATTTCCATTCATAAATATTTTCTTTTGTTCTTTTGTTACTTTATATTGGAAGCATTACTGTTATTTGCATTATATCTATGCAGTGTTATGGGAGGATGTGCATGAGAAGCTGAGTCTGGACCCAGAAAAATCCCTTAATATGAAGGTCTTGAGTCTTTCACCTGATGACTGTTTTTTTTTTTTTTCTATTAATTTAGCTCATTGGTTCAATTTGATAACCAACAAAAGCTTAAGGCCATCATTCCACCTTGTTAGAGTTATTTAAGGTAATTGGTCTTTAGTACCCCACCTTTGACTTAAACACTGTCTGAAAATTTTTCCAGGTGAGGCAGAGTTCAATCAGCGGATGGAGCGATTCAAAATGGCCTCTTTCCAGAGTAGCCCCACCAACACCCCAAGCACCTCCAACCAGTGCCCCCGGACACGCTCCAGCTTTGTATCAGTCATCCAACAAAAACTCCAGGGCTCAACTACACCCAGCTCAAAGGAGGTTTCTCGCATCCGCCAGGTTGGTTTAACAGCTTTAATCGCTGAAATGCAGATTCAATACTCCCATGTGCTGCTTCTTAAGGGGGGAAATTTGTTATTTAAATCTAATACTAAAAAAACATTGAAATAAATAATTTCTTTTGTATTATTCAAATACTGGATAATTGATTATGCTTGTGATAAATGTCTAAAATCTGATATGTTTTCACTGGTCAGGAGCGGGAGCATGAACTGAGTCAGGTGCCGTTTCAGCCCATCGCTGAGAACGCCTGGCTGAAACGGAGCAGCTCAGATTCCGCTTTAGCAGAGGTGAGTTTTCAGACCCTGACGTTCCACCTACAGAGCTCCGATAATAAACTGTCATAGTTTATTATCTGTTATTTTAAAATCGATGGGATAAATTAAAGCTTCATGCTTGAATTGCCATCAAGTATAGTAGTTTGGATTAGTATCACAGCTGTGATACAGTAAATAGTAATTGATGCACACAGTCAGTGTCAACAAGAATTCGGCACGTCCTGATTTGACTAAAACTTTGTTCAGGTTTTAACTCGTTTTTGTGGATTATAGCTTTGGTAAACTGTACTTTTCATTTTTCACTGTTGGTTTTCATAGATTTTTTTAACATGACAGTTTATATAAACAGGAGAGGACTCCTTGTGGCCCTTCAGGTCCCTCCTCCAGTGTTCCTAGATCAAAAAGGAGAGTGCAGTGGCCTCCCACATGCCCCTGGGATGTGAGTCAGTAGTGTAAAACCCTGCGTTGTCTAGTCACCTGGTATTATGGGCCACATAGACTTGGGCAGAGATCAGTTGATTAAATATGTCTTGAAGCACTGCTGGAGACAGAATTTCTTTAGAAAACTGAGTTTCATTCCATACTCTGCACCTTCTTCTCTCTTCTATGGTTTTCGGGATGTTGGCTTGTCACTGCGGTAACAAAGGTCATGTTTGGTGTGCAGTGGTGGATTCATGCACTTCTTGTACATTTGAAGATTGTACAGACTTACACTGTTCAGCATTATTGCACCCTGTCAATATTAATTGGTTCACTTTGTTTAGGGGCTGTTTTTTCTTCCTGTGACTTTTATATTTCATGATTTTTAATTTTTAGAATTCTTTTACAATTTTCTGTCCCTTAATTAAATTAATTTGTTTTTATCTGAACTTTTATTTCTTTTTGTATGTAGTCATCAACATAGTATCATTATAGTCAATAAAACTCCTACTTCTTATTCTTTAATCCTGATGTTCTTGATCTTCTGGCAGGATCAAGGTGTCGCTGATGTGAAAGACGGTAGTTTCACTGAACCTCCGACGACAAATGCAGAGAGCGCATCTCTTAATATGACAGGTAAGGCTTTGGGTGTCATTTAGATTTGAAATTGAAGCATATATTTTTCTATAATGTGAAACAAAAACAATTCTAATTAGTATTGGAATTCATATGCAACATGCGTATTGGGGCAAACACATTCGAACAGCACTTATGTACCAGGGATGTAATCTCAGGCTACTTGTCATTTGTTCGATTTGTTTTCGTCTCCTTTTTAAGGAGAAAAGTTTTACATTTCAGAATATTTTGTAAACTCTTGAGTCTGTTATGTAACCAATAATTAGGAATAATGTGACTAATAGAGCACATTTCATTACATCTTGCAAATTTAATTAATTAATAAAAAAATGTAATTGCAAGTTCATTTCGCATCTAAAATAGTAGTTTGTTTCAGTATCAGTGCAGATTTTGTGCTCTTTATATAAATGACTCAGTATTAGGGCTGGGCGATATGACCCAAAATTCATATCTCGAAATTTTTTACCTGGACGGCGATATAAGATATATATCTCGATATTTTTTTT